TGGACCCGCTTCACGTGCGAATTTCAAAGGAACGGTGCATTGGTTCCGCTCGTCCATGCACATAGTGAACCTACATGCTAAGAGCGTATGCTGTGCAAAAAATCGGCTTGACCTTGGTTGTAGCTCGTTCTGTGAATTGTGCGTGCGTGCATGCGTCAGAGCCAGTGCGCAGACCCAGTAGAGCCAGTGCGTCGCCTCTGCTTCGCACTGGCTCTACTATCCACATGCCTTCCTCGTTGTCCCAAAATGATGGCTTTGAAACTTACCTCGCGATGCCGATCATCACGAATGAAGTGTAAACAACTACTCATTCCTAAAGTTTTTTCATGTAAGATTGGTGTCTTTGAGGGAAAGAAGGTACTCTCCAAGAGATTAAATGCGATTCTGAATCAGTTACTGGGGTTATAATGGCTTGATAGTCGCCATAAAGATGACGACAACCCTGAGTGACATCACTGAGCAAAAATTTTCTCACATTCCCAAGTAAAACTTTGACAAATCGATCATCTACGCAATTACTCTTTTTTGGCTCCGATCTTGCATGGAAGTGAACTTTTTGCTCACTTTTCGGGCTGGAGTCCATGGTTTGCGGATTTGCTTGCTAAACGAAACCATGACTTTGGAAAAAGTCCAATTACAGGCCCACTTTGGCGCGCGAAATGTCGCGTGGATCCGTTTGGCGCACAATTTCACAGGTTCCAATTATGGCTGGGTTCATACTGATTCCCATGTTCTGGAACTGTTCCCGCACAGTTCCAGCACAGTGCGAGAACTGTGCGGGAACAGTTCCAGAACATGGGAATCAGTATGAACCCAGCCTATCGGATCGGCTTGTGCTTTTGCACATTTTACCTACATGCTGATAGGGTGCTACTACCAAAATTCTAGCGCAAGACCTTTGCTGGAACTCGCTCTACGAATTTCGTGACAGACAGAGATTCAGACACACACACAAACGTAAACAACCCTTAGCCCGTTATTATAAGTTTAAGTTATGATATATCAACAGTGATGAAAGGATGTTGATGTATTATTGCAATGCATAACTCTCACTAAAGTCAGAAGACTGACTGAAAATGAGATGTTATTGCTGTTTCGCGGTGATAGAGAGGAAGTTGCCGAACAATGTAATCTGTGATCACATGAATGCTCATGCGCATCGGGTTAAATGGTTGTTATGATTGTACAGTTTCTTTTTCTGGTTATTTGCACGAAAATGGGTTCGCAGATGTCTATCATAACTTATAATAACGGGCTAAGGGTTGTTTACGTTTGTCTGTCTGTCTGTCTGAATCTATGTCTGTCACGAAATTCGTAGAGCGTGTTCTAGCCAACGTCCTGAACCCAAATTTTGCATAACGCACGTTACTAGCATGAAAGCTCACTATACAAAAGCATAAGCGGATCCGTTGAGTGGATCCATTGAAAATTGCGCGTCAAATGGATCCACATGGCTTCTGGCCAGCAAATTTGGGTCCGTAGTATTACTTTTTGCAGGCTCGTGGATGTTTATGGCAAGTAAATGTGCAAACCATGAACTTAGGCCCAAAAAATTGATCAAAAGTCCACTACTTTACAAAAACGGCGCCAAAAAATATTGGTTGCGTAAATGGTCATTTTGCCAAGCTTTTACCAAAGCATTTGATGAGATTTTTGCACCTAAATGTAGCTTATGGTGACTACTGTTCTTATAGCGACTGTCAAGACTGCGGGAAAATCAAAAACGTGCAAAATTTTGCTTTGTTCTCCTGCAAAAAAATTTCATCCACGCGAAATCACCGATTTCACATGAAAAAGCTTTCGGAATGAGTAGTTGTTTACATTTTGTTCATGATAGTAGGCATTGCTCGGTGAGTTTCAATGCCATCATTATGCGAGAATGAGTAGGGCCTAGATAGTAGAACCAGTGCGAGCCTCTGCGAAGCAGAGGTGACGCACTGGTATGTAATATTAGCATCTGGTAGAGATCGTAGATGCTGTTCTCTCGATTGCCTTTCTCGATGAAGCTAGGTGATTCGCTCACCATCAACGAATTTTACTGATGAACATCAAAGGTAATGCAAACGATACAGGGTGATAATTGATAAGTTGTGGAAGAAGGAAATCGCACAACATAGAAGAAATTTGGTTGAAACTGGTTGCACTCTGAGCAGAAATTGTGAACAGAAACGAGTTCTTGGCTACTTTTGAAGCACAAAATCATTCTGATTCACTTTGATAACATTGCTTGCTTTCTTTGAGTGCTGAGACTATAGCAATTTTCCCTGGCTGCGTCGTGCGTACCAGCCTGGAATTGAGTACAGTAACATATTTTCGTCGAAGAGGATACTAGGTAACCCCTTCTTTGTAAATTGCATTGAAACTAACGCCTGTTCAAGCGTCAAATCATTGTGCAGCTACCTCTTCGAATTGAAGATTGGACAAATGACCTTCTTCAAGTTATATGTGAACTCTGAGCCAACTTTGGCGAACGTTGCTAGCTGTAACATGTAGCTCCACAAACAAAGCAGTCATACATAAGAATTCCACTAAAGCAATTCTTCGAACAAATGTAGGACATATCCAATGTCAGCTTGATCATAATAAATGTGGAAACGAACAATCAAATGATCAAACATGTTGATCAAATGATCAACAAATCAAACAATCACTTACTTTTATAGAGTTCAAATTGGAAGTCCAAAACTGCGCGTGGGACAATCGATCATACCAAAAGAAGCATTACCTCTTCAACATAACATTTTACAGACGAATTTTATAGAGATGTAAAGTATGTACGTGTACCCATAGCCATATATAGAAATGGCGTCACTGTGAAGTGTTGGAGGATGATGTTGAAAGAGGAAGCAATCGTAACAGCGACTAATCACACTGGTGTAACTAGTTGCGTTACATACTTCAACACTTTCTCTACTTTACCGGATAACATGTGCCCATCTCTTCCTCAGTCAATCTCTTGACTCGTACTAGCAGCCGTGCAACAGTCACACATCAGCAACCTTTCATCACCGGTGACACTCTGTCGCGTCTCGCGATGCAAGGCGCTCCCCGAGGTACGGAGGCCGGGGGCATCGGTTACCGCGCTATCCGGCGACGATTTCGGCAGCCGAGACGCGTGTTGCCGCGATCGCTTCCGGACCTCTCCTCAATTGGCTCGTTGCCAGCCAGGCGGCTATATAAGGCGGCGGCGCCTCAGTTGGGTGCCTTTGTTCGTCTTCATTCTTATTGATTGATTTCATTTCTCGTTCGAATATCATTTCAGCCGCCATGCTCCTGTCCTTCTTTTTGTAAGAACAGTTGAGCCGGAGATTCTTGGATTGAAAAACGGATCCCTTTTTGTTAGCGCATTCCAACGCGGCGTTGTACGACCGAATTGCATGTCAATTTGGAAGTCATTTACAGGAGCTGGAGGGGACGTGCCGTCGTCTAAGACCTTGGCGTTGCGCGGTGGATTTGTTGCGCAAGCCCTCGCGAGCCACATGTATTTTTGAGTTTGTTCATAGACGCGCATCGGTAGCATGGGACGGGCCCTCGTCCCGAGTTTAACGTTGTAGTAGTAGTAAACTGTTTTGCTTTAGTGTAGTATTCTTCTTCATCTATTTAACTGTAGTTTAGTGCTATAAGGATAAACCACTTAATTAACCCTATGTTCTGTTCGGTCGCGCGTTATTGCGCAGTAGGCTAGGTACGTCGTTTATTATCGGGCGAGCATTAGGTCTCGGGTTACATCTAGGTGCCACGAGCCCACCGAGTCGCCACACACTCCTTGTCAGATGCACAAATATTTAGAGATAGTGCGCCCCAATTGAAAAGAGGTGCTCTAATCGAAATTGCGATGGAACGCACCTGCAACTCCTCCCAGTCCCGAGCCCTTTTATGGGCGTTCCAGTTAGTGCGGTCAACGCGGTCAGTGCCGTTGATGCGATTAGGTGCGATCAGCGCGGTCAGCATGAAACAACCATGAGGCCTCGGTCATACCTCGCTCGATTTCATCAAAGCGCTATCGCCAGCAATTTGCCAAATGGCTATTAATCCACCGCGGCTTATTTTAGTGCACAAGCGCATTTTTTGTAAACCGATGCCTGCGTTTCAAGTCTTCCCTACGAAAAGTGCACATGTCACTTATCAAAAGAATCATGAGCTGTCGTAGCAGTGTCAATTGTTCGCGATATATCCGATGTTTTAGGATTTATACCCGACACGAAAACTGCGCAGCGACTGGTTGCGCAAGGGTATGCCTCAGGTCTCACAAAGGAATTCTTGGTCGAAGTGGCGATTCGGAGGTTGATGTATGCCAACCGATAGAGCTCAAAACGCTAACCTCGAATGTAGGCTCTCTATATGCGAAGCGTTTCCTGTGGGAAGTTATGGGCTTTTTTGTGTTTTCAATGGAAGTGTGGTCTGAAAGGAAAATGACGACCTGTGCATAACAGCATGGATGGACAACACTCGAAAACGTTCAGATGATAGATTAGACCGACAATGCTAATTAGGTGCTCGGCCTGAGCCTGCATATTTTTATGTGAAAACTATCGTGATTTTGCGACTAAAAATGGACGATAATTTGGAATAAAAAAGCTCATAACTTTTTCACAAGAGCGCAGCGCAGATGTGAAGGATATCAGCGTTGAAAGATCTATCCATAGAATTATCTTAATTATCTACAAGTATTAACAAGTCACTTGCTCATTTTTATAACCCAATAAGTAACTTTCATCGCGACCCGTTCTCGAGGGGGGGGGGGGGGCGGCTTTTCTTTTCTTTTCAATTTCTGGAACGTCCACTGCATGGGTATACATCACCTTCCGAATCGCCACTTCGACCAGGCGAACTTCCTTTGTCATAGCATAAAAGACGCTTAGATTCTAAAAGCATGCATGCATTGACACTTCGGAGGGAATGCAGCTAGACAAACACTTCATGAAGCTCCGACGCAGAGATTACACGTGCGCGCACGCTATTGTCATAGATGAGACAAATGACTCGATATAAAATTCACAGCCAATATCAAAGGTTAGTTTCTGAGCAACAAAGGGAAATGTAAAGTATTTATTAAACACCAGGGGTTTACAAAGCCAAAATTGTTATATCGTAGGTAAGTAGCTTCGGTTGTTATTCGTCATTTGAGAATTTTGCTGTTTCAAAGTTGTTGCAGCATTTAAATATGGCAGATAATTAGAAGTGGTCTGCTGAAAGGAAAGCAGGTTGATAAGACATGGATATAAACACTTGCCTTCTTGTTCATGGGTGGAGTAATTTCTTCCTGCCGCAAACGTAGCTGCCAACCGGCAAAGTAGCTGTGCTGTAGTAGCTCTGCCGCACTCCATCGTCGATCAGGGCTCATTTCAAAACATTTCTGAAAAGATCAACTTGTGAGAGATTGGCAATCGCGCAAGTACACTCACATATAAGAAGTCAAGCTGAACACTTGTGGCGTTTGGTAAACGCAACGGAAGTGGTTCCTGTTGTTCAGGTTCCGGTATCGATAAACCAAAGAAGAACTGATTCGAGCGGAACACAGACATATGTCTGGGAAGAAGCTCACCTGAATAAAGAAGTCGATGGCATAAGAATGAGGTTTAAAGTGTAGTTTCTGAACTAACGTGTAGTTTCTGAACGCAAACTTCAGCAGCGGTTTAGCAGAGCTACTACCTTTCACCTATCCACTTCTTGATGACGACTTCTTTGATAGAAACAGCATTTTTTTCAATAGTCAACATCATAGCCTGAGCATGCCTCAGTCAATAAACGCGGCAACCATCCGCTGTCAACAACGAGCAAATGCAGTTAATAGTGCTGACCTATTTATAGATATTCACGACTAGACGACCAGAGCTCAGCACAAGTGGCTTACGGGACAAGCTGGATATCGTTTTGAAATTAAAAGCAAGAGGGATATGGTTCGAAACCCCCCCCCCCACATACATCCGCCTTCTCCCTTTATGTCACCCTTTTAGCTTCCATAGAAAACGCATATTGTCATTCCTGCCTTATCGATCCTAATCCTACGAAAACCAAAAAATTTTCAGTTTCAACAGGTTCGGCGGTTGAGCGCGCGAATGCAAACCTGCCCTGAAATAAACAAAAGAGTTGCTAACCGCGAAGGGGAAATGAAATGACACCAAAATTGGTGTTTAGATGAGCAATAGGGAGTTAGGACCATGCACGAAAAATTATAAATTATGTGAAGTGAAGGCGTGGCAAAAAGAAAAGGTCAAAATTTTCCTTCCTTCACATCGCTTTCTTACCTATTTAACACAACTTTTTTCTACATCAAAGACTCTACGACTGAGTTTTTGAAACTCCCTAAACGCCATCTTCCTCGCCCTCCAGATATTTTGTACGACGGCGACAAGCCTGCTCCAAGGGCGCAAAGGTGCGCGTCGGACACAGCATGCCGCCAATTTGGAGATACAAATATCTTTAGTTCTTTTCCGTCTGTTCAGTGCTGCTATGTCTTGTTCCATTATTCTTCGTTATTCGTTTCAGAGTTGATGTCGTATTTTTGTGGCGAAGTCTACGGCGACTTTGTTTTCGAGGAATTGATAAAGCAATGCCGACCCCTGTATACGACCCACCGATGGGTCGTTCGTGCACCGGTTTTGGACAACGACTCACCGATGGTTCTATTTCTAAGCAATGCAAGTTCATAATGGAACTACATGGGATTCCGGCACATGCTTAGAGACTTTTAGGTAGAGCCCTGATTACAAGACTACCTTTCGGACATAAGACCCCATCGGAGATTGAAATAAAAACATGAGAAAGTTGGTAGCGATGGGTCGTATGTCCAAAACGGCAGAAATCGATACATTGACCTCGTCGTGAATGTGTAATAGGCATACCCGCGCAGTAATCGAGTGCACCCGCACACTTTTAGTCTTTCTACTCTGTTATTCGATTTTTTTTGCTATTCCTCCACACGGGCACCTACTTCCTAAAATGAGGACTTCGCTAATAGTACAAGGAGAGGAGGTATTTGAGACACTCCGAACGAAGAGACATTCCCACGATAAAACCGTTTTTGGAGGTAATAGTGGATGCGCGGTTAGGTCATCTATGACTTAATAATAACGGGCTAAGGGTGTTTACGTCTGTTTGTCTGTCTGTCTGTGTGTACGTCTGTCTGTCACGAAATTCGTAGAGCGACTTCCATCAAAGATCCTGAGCTAAAATTTTGGTCATAACACCCTATCAGCATGTAGGTAAACTGTGCAAAAGCACAAGCCGATCCGATTAGTGGAACCTGTGAAAACTGAGCGCCAAACGGGTCCGCGCGACTTTTGGTCCGCCAAAATCTGTCGGTAGTTGGGCTTTTTGCAAAGTCGTGGATTTGTTCAGCAAGTAAATCCGAAAAACATTGACTTCAGCTCAAAAAGTAAGCAGAAAGTCAATCTTTACACAAAATTGGCGCCAAAAAGATGTAAGTGAGCAAATTGTCGATTTGCCAAGAATTTTCTATAAAAATTGAGAGGATTTTTGAATAGATATGTAGCCCAAAGTGGTGTTTATCCTTATGGCGAATATAAAGCCAAAATAAATTCAGTAACCCATTCAGAATCGCATTTGTTTTTCTGCGGGAAAATTTTTTCTCCTGAAATTACCAATCTTACATGGAAAAGCACTAAAAATGAATGGTTGTTTACAATTCATTCGTGATGTTCAGCATAGCGCGGTGAGTTTCAAAGTCATTATTATGCGATCACGAAGAAGGCACGGATAGTAGAGCCAGTGCGAACCTCTGCGAAGCAGAGGTGACGCACTGGTGACTTATAATAAAGCGCTAAGCGTCTGTCTGTCTGTGTGTGTATGTCTGTCTGTCACGAAATTCACAGAGTGAGTTGCAGCCAGCGCCTTGATATAGAATTTTGGTCATAGCACCCAGTCAGCATGCAGATAAACTGTGCAAAACCACAAGCCGATCCAATAAGTGGAACCATCGAAAACTGTGCGTCAAACGGATCCACACAACTTTTGGCCTGCCAAATTGGGTCGGTATTTGGACTTTTTGCAAAGTCTTGAATTTATTTAGCAAGTGAATCCAAAAAACATTGACTACAGCTCAAAAAGTAAGGAAAAAGTCTATTTTTACACGAAATTGGCGCCAAATGGATGTAACTGAGCAAGTTGTCGATTTGCCAAGTTTTTACTATAAAAAATGAGAGGGTTTTTGAATAGATATGTAGCCCAGGGTGGTCTTTATCCTTATGGCGACTATAAAGTTAAAATAAATTCAGTAACCCATTCAAAATCGCATTTGTTTTTCTGCAGGAAAATTTTTTCTCCCAAAATTACCGATCCCACATGGAAAAGCTCTAAAAATGAATGGTTGTTTACAGTTCATTCGTGATGTTCAGCATCGCGCGGTGAGTTTCAAAGTCATTATTATGCGATCATGAAGAAGGCATGGATAGTAGAGCCAGTGCGAACCTCTGCGAAGCAGAGGTGACGCACTGGTCATGACTTAATAATAACGGGCTAAGGGTTGTTTACGTCTGTTTGTCTGTGTGTCTGTCTGTACGTCTGTCTGTCACGAAATTCATACAGCGAGTTCCAGCAAATGTCTTGAGCTGAAGTTTTGGTGATAGCATCTTGCCAGCATCTAGGCCCATCATGCAAAATTTCGTACGGATCCGTTGCGTTGATGTTACAAAAATTGTGCGTCAAGCGGATCCACACGGCTCTAAGCAGGCAAAACTGAGTCCAGATTTGAATTTTTTGCAAAGCCATGATTTGCCTGACAAGTGAATCTGCGCCTCATGAATTCTAACCCAAAAAGGGCTCAAAAAGTTTGCTTTTCTGCGAAAACAGCGCCAAAAGTGGTGATCGCGTAGATAGTCGATTTGGCAAGGCTGTAACTTCAAATTTGAAAAGATTTTTGCACGGAAATGTAGCCCAAAGTGACTACTATCCTTATGACGACTACCAAGCCAAAAAAAATTCGATAATTCATTCAAATTCGCAGGTTTTCCTTTGCGAAAAAGATTTCTTTCTCAAAATTACCGATATTACGTGGAGATGCTTTAAGAATGAGCAGTTGTTTACGATTCAATTGTGATGTTCAGCATCGCGTGGTAAGTTTCAAACTCATCATTATGCGACCATGAGAAAGGCATACGGATAGGAGTGCCAGTGCAAACCTCCGCGAAGCGGAGGTGATGCGCTGGTGCTTAGATAATCGCCGGGGGTAGGCGGTCATGCGATATGGGCAGGCGGGCACCGGAAAATTGATTCACTGATTACTTGCGGTACGCTTGCGGACATTTGAAAGAATGTTAGCAAAATTTTAGACGAATGCTCGAACAATTGCGGCTTTTTCATAGATTAGTGCGGCACAGTGGCCGCATTCTCGCAGACTTTTCGCGAGAATATGCAAAATTGTTGGGCGCCGCACGGTCCTTTGTGGAGGACCGCACTGCCCAGGGTACCTCCCGCTGGGAGAAAGTATCCCAAACTCGATTAATTAAATCATCAATAACAACTCTGTTATGTAGAGTGTTACCTTTGCTAAGCGCACGCCGGAAACTGCGTAGGAAGAGTCCGAGCGCATGCTTAAATTTTGGCCACCGCTTGCTGAAAGAGATTATTCGACGAGCGCTTGCAGAAAATTTTGCATTGCTACCCTCTGCTCAGACAATCGCGGGGGGCAGGCGGGCACCGAAAAAATAGATTGCTGATTTCTCGCACCCCGCTCGCGGATTTTTAGGAGAGCAATCAGGACTTTTCGGAGACCGCTTGCTGAGTCAGCGGATTTTTGAGAGACCGCCTGTTGAATTTTTTTCGCTCTTATCTTTCGCAGATATATTGCTGAATCTCTGAGGAATCGAGAACTCAGCAAGCGGTCTTCCGAAAAGTCCTGATTGCTTTCCCAAAAATCCGCGAGCGGGGTGCGAGAGATCAGCAATCTATTTTTCCGGTGCCCGCCTGCCCCCGGCGATTGTCTGAGTGGCTGAACACGGAAGTACCGCTCGCTGAAATTTTGCCCACGCCCCAAAATTTTGCCAACCGCTTGCAGAAAAGCGCGAGTTTGCGGACCGCCTGGCCTGGCGATTGTCTGAGTGGTAGATAAACATAGCAGCGTATAACGCTAGTGAAATGTTTCATCAGTCTGCAAAGCTCTTTCTCTAGGATTAATCGTACTTCTGCTGACAAGTTTACAGATAAAGAATCTGTGAACCAATTTTTTTTCTAGACATGTGCAGGAGAGAAAATAGAAAACATAACATCTAAGAAAGTAATTTCTTGTAAAGATGCCTCAATTTTCGGATTGAGTATGTTCCTGTTAAATGATATACCCATTCGGAAGCGTCGTTCTCATAAGAAAATTAGTTTCAGTATACTTGGCCAATTAAGGTGCCGAAAGATGATTCCAAGTTTGTCTTCTGTAGGTGCAAATTTTTCAATACATATTCGTAACCTAAATGCGCCTAGCAAATGAGAAATAGAGCGTTCAATCTGCAATTCGTCATTCATGTGCTGAACTGTCTAATTGTTGCCGGAAGAAACTAGACGATTGTCCGGAGAGGAATAGAGGCAGGAATGTTC